ATGCCACATGTTCTCACTCAGTTGTGGCTGTTTAAAAAGTGGATCATGTTAAACAGAATGGAGGTGTTTAGAAGGTCGCAAGGGAGGAGGGAAGGCAGCAAGTGAGAAGGTGTATAGTTAGGACCATAGACAGTGGTGCTAAGTATGCACTTCAAAATAGCTATAGAAGAATGTAAAGGTTGGGAACATGTAGAGATGATAATATTTGCTGTGGTCATCATAAACATGCCTTGATTTACACTACCCACAAATAAGCACATGCATGTATATGTATCTGTGATACTCATGTTTATATTTAAAATGAGGAGTAGATTTTTCTTTAGTTCTGTGGGTAGATCCCAAATACCACACGAGACATTCCTGTTATTTATTATTTACCTTAAAATTTTGTTCAGCATCCTTCAACTGGCATGTCTAACCTAGTGAACTGGCATGTCAAATCTTGTGAAAGTGAGTCCATACTTAAGTAGACGTTCAGACTGTGTTGAAGCTGGTATTGAGCTTGTGGTCCTGGATCCAGAGTTTTCATGAGCTTTGGCAATTAGAACTTGCACGTATAGTTAGGTTACTTGGGTAGAATTGTAGATTTCTTAGAAGAAGCTGAGTTCTGGTAGCAAAAGAGCTGACCAAAGAAACAGCCATGTAGCATATTTGTGGCCTTGGTATCATGGTCTTGTCAGCAAAGTCATGGGTTCTGATTAAACCCAGATTGAGCTGTTTCCTGTTAGCGTGCTAACCCACAGGGCAGGCTCAAGTCTCCTTGTCTGGCTTTCCAAGTCTGACTTATTAAACGCTTGTCTGCCAAGGGTTCCTCCCTTTTCTTTGAAACTTCAATTAGAAGTTATTAAGATAATACAAACAAAAATAGGTTCTGAAATCCCTTTAAAGGATTATGGGCCTATCGACTCTTTTGCTGCAAAAATGAAACTTTAACATTTTAGTTTATTCATTCTGGCATATGGCAAATGGCATTTAAAATTTTTTTACACTTATTTATTCAGGGGCACATGCGTGCGTGTGTGCATGCATGCATGAAGGTATGTGTGTACCATGATGCACTTATGGAGGTCAGAGGACAACTTTTGGGAGTTCCCTCCTTCCACCATGTGGGTCTGTGGGACTGAATTTAGGTGGTCAGTCTTGATAGCTAGCACCTGTACCACTGAGCAATCTTCCTGGCCCAGTGGATGTGTTTCTACATTTCATTTCTGTACAACTTCATTTCAAAACAATTCCAGTAGTCAGCAGAGAATGCTAAGTTGTTGTTTGTTTTGTGAAAATGTACTCTGTTTGAATGTTGGTCAGTTAGAACTCACCTAAAAACAAAGCAAAACGAAATCTGGGTCTGCCCAGTGACAGAAAGCAGCTTTTAGGGTACTAATTAAGAATATAGAAACTACAGGAAACATTAAGTGAATGCGCTAACCACTCAACACTCATTGTTGAGTTTTGTAAGAATGATTCCAGCCAACAGCATAACTCTATACTTCATTGTATGATATTGCTGCTTGCTCTTTGTAGTCACATATAATTTTCTAAATCTGAGATGAGCATCCAGCACATTGTGTTAGATGTCTCTGAAGTCCCAAGGAGCAGGAATCAGACAAGACACAAAGGAGAATCAGGCATGCAGACAGGGAAAGGAAGTGGACACGGAAGAAGGGTCTGGGTAGGGCAGCCATCCCATTCCTTAGGGAGCAGCTTGGCAGCCTGCCAGATCTGCTCTCGGGGGGCCGTGTGGTCACTGTCTCCCACAAGTATTTTTCCCTGTGTTTGAGTTCTCGGTCACATTATTATTAGTGAAAAATTGATTCTTTTAAGCCATCATCTCTACTTTCAATAAGAAAAGTCTACTTTTAGAGTGGAGTTTGCACTTCAAAGTAAGGTAAGACTCATCAAATCATAAAAGTTCGTGGGAAGGGAGCCCTTGCATTATCACAAAGTAAGTAAGGAAGCTTAATTTAAAATTAGAACCTGCCCATTTCTCCCAATGGAGAAGCTATGCCTTGTGCCAGTTCCACTTGGCATTGAATACTTTTTAACGTCTACTGCATTATTGTGTAGGCAGATGATGGTTTTGACAGAGTCTTTTGAAGTACAAAGCAAAAACTACAAAACATCCTTCCATTTTAGTATTACATTAAGAAAGAGATCTAAGAGGCTAGGCAGTGGTGGTGCATGCCTTTAATCCCAGAACTCAGGAGGCAGAGGCAGGCGGATCTCTGTGAGTTTCAGGGCCGCCTAGTTTGCAAAATGAGTTTCAGGATAGCCAGAGCTGCTATGCAGAGAAACCTTGTCTGGAAAAAAGAAAGAAAGAGAGAAAAAAGCAGAGAGATTAAAGAGATATAAATGTTTTTATTGTATCGTATTTAAAATTTTATTTTTACTATTTATTTATCTATGTATTGAGAAAGGGTCTCAATTTGTATCTCATGCTGACCTGGAATTTACTGTGTAGCTCAGGCTGGCCTTGAACTCACTGCAATCCTTTGGTCCCAAACTATGGCTGGCTGGATAGGTGTAAGCCAAAGGCCTGGCTAATTAGCATTATATTTTATAATGTCTTCACTTATATTTTTCTCTCTTAAAGTAGAAAATGATAAACATAAATCCAGTACATTGCAGTTCATTCTGAAGTCTGTAACATGATTTTAGAATTAAAGGGGAATGGACCTAGAAATACTGTGTATCATACCTGCTTGCTAGAGTTTAGTGTCATATGCAGACACGTTGAAGCCGAAGAAAGTCAGCAATAAAGAAATGTCTTTGACTTTATTGAACTCTGTAGTCTCCGAACTTGACACAGGACCTTCTCTTAGCACAAAGCAAAGCAACCTAATGTTTTATAGTACATTCTCAAAGCAGTACTGGTACCTAGTAATTAAAATGTAATTAGAGTTTGAGACCATCCATCTTTCGCTCATTATTTCTGTTGTAAGTTAATTGGAACTTCTGGGGAACAGATGGACCCTGTAAAACTAGTACAGAGTGAAAAAGAGCAGCTCCAGGCCTCTGCCTGAACCAACAGTCCTAAGAGCCCTAAGGAAATATGGGTGTTTTTCCTAAGTCAGACCTCTGTCCCTGGAAATTTTTCTTTTACAAACATTTTATTTTACTTATCTGTATGTTTTGTGTGTATGTGTATAGACCTGTGCATGTATGCAAATGCCTGCATGTGTGTCACATGTATGTTTATGCCCAAAAAGACCAGAAAAAAGAATCAGATCCCCTAGAGCCCAAGTTACAGGTAGGTGTGAGTTTCCTGACATGGGTTCTGGGAAATGAAATCTAATCTTCCGGGAGAGTAGGAAGCATGAGCTGCTGAGTCATCTCTCCAGCCTCATCCTCAGCAAAACCTAAAAAATTCAATAAGGAAACAAAAACATGCATCACATACACCGTAGTCCTTCCGTCAATTCCCATCAGCACTTAGACATAATGGCATTAAGCTGTTCTAACCTCACGTGGTTGCTGCCATGTGGGTCTCTCTGAAAGCAATCCCTGGGTGAGTTTCCTTCTTAGTTTAACTTCCAACAGGAGGGTGAGGGAAAAGCAAAGTGCAGAACTCGGTAGCCACAGTCGTCATCACGAGAGACTCAGGTCTCTCTTGTTACTCTTGTCACACTGACTTCTGTATGTATGACTATTTCGATGTAGGACCTTAGGCAATCTGTATAAAGTAATTCAGTTTATAATCCAGATAAATTGGCTGGTAGTTCTCTGCACCAGTGATAATCTTTGCACCAAGGAGAATAACTATTTGCTTTGGAAACAGATTTATTGTAGAACTCCTCTTGGTAGGTGAGTTTCCTTAGCACCCACAAAGGAGTCCATTGGAAAATTGTATCTGCATGTAATTTTCTAGGCACAGATTTACTGTGAATGGGAGGTGCACCCTTATTTTTCTGCAGTTTGATTCTTTTTGCTCATCCTCAGTTTTCAAGCCTTTCACATTTTATCACTGACCTTTATACGTTATGGATTATGTGTATTAATGTACAGTATAAGTGTCCACTGATACTTACATTTGCTTTTCTATGCTAGCTGTTTCTCATGAGCACATATCTTTGGTGTTTGCACATTTCTGGAGAGTAGGGCTATGCACCACCACCCTTTCCATGGCTCCCCTGGGAGAAGCCCCATACTGCACAGAACAGCTGTTTCTCACCCAGTTCCTTTGGTTGCTGGTGGCGTGAAAGTAGGATGTACATTGCCACCTATGGACTGAAGACTGTTAGATTATAGTGGCATCTCCATAGGGTACCACTGGAAACAGACGTCTACCAACACTGATTTTTCAAGCTGTGACCATGATGTCAGCTGGCTTACACAAACCCTATGTGGTGTGTGTGTGTGTGTGTGTGTGTGTGTGTGTGTGAAAATGTATTGTGTGTGTATATACACATATAAAATTTATATATATGTGTGTGTATATATATAAAAAGTTGGCTTTTCAGAATCATTAATGTTTGACTCTTTTGGCATCCCCTGGTAGGCACTGACTTTAAAAATAAGTGTGAAGGCACTCGGGAGGCAGAGACAGGTGGATCCCTGTGAGTTCAAGACCAGCCTGGTCTACAAGAGTTCCAGGACAGCCTCCAAAGCTACAGAGAAACCCTGTCTCGAAAAACCAAAAAAAAATGTGTGAAGACTTTGTCAGTACAAAGAGGATACGATAGTTAACATTTGCTAAACTCTCTCCAGGTGATAAAGTATTTCCAGCACCCTTGCTGTCACTAGGGGTGAAAGGAGAAGCCATTGTATAGCTATGAAGTAATCATCTCTCTGTCTTCAGAGAGAAAGAGAACCCACCTCCCCATGCTGGCCTTCACGGCCACTGTTCTGCCACACTGTATTTACAGGAGAGCACTTTGCTTTAGGAGACATTCGGAGAAGCCTTTATGATGGTATACCGAAACACCGGCTTGAACTATTTCTTGTTTTCAGTTTGACATCAGGAAGTCGAGGCATATAATACTAATGATGGATTTGTCCCATAGGTTGAAGGGGACCAGCTGCCTCCAGGTCACACAGTCAGTCAATATGAGACCTGTAAGATCAGGACCATCAAAGCTGGCACGCTGGAGAAGCTTGTGGAGAACCTGCTGACGGCTTTTGGAGACAATGACTTTACCTACATCAGCATCTTCCTGTCGACGTACAGAGGCTTTGCCTCAACTAAGGAAGTGCTGGAGTTGCTGCTGGACAGGTAAGAGGAAAGGGCGAGTACTGAATGCCAGTCTAAGGGACCAGAGTGTGGCTCAGTCTCAAGGGCACTTGGAAGGCTAGGAGGGAGGAGAGATTGGCTACAAAGGCCAGCTGTTGGAACAAGTGGCATGCAGAAGGCAATTATATGGTTTGTTTCCAGGGCAAAGAAATCTCATTCAAAAAGTTCATAAAGGCTGGGCATGGTGGTACATGCTTCTAATCTTGGTACTCGGGAAGCTGAGACAGCCAGGACCACATGGCAATGCTCTGTTTCAGAAGCAAAGGAAAAAAAAACAAGGAAAAAGCAAGCAATAGCTGAAACCTATTTAAAAAATTCAATAGAAGAGTTAAAAGTAGATATTATAAACGTAGATTCAACTATTTATACATTTCTATTTCTATTTGCTACCCCAAACTTAACAGATTAACTTTTAATTTTTGTAATTTCTGTACACGTACTTAACCGGTCAGTAATCTCCTTGTTTTGGGGACTGAATGTACTCATACGTGTGATGTATAGCACTCTATCCTAGATCGCTGGAAGCCGCTGATGAGTAGGGGCTTTGGCAGTGACAGTCATGACTGTCAGCAATCACCTTGTATTCAGTGTTTTATGGACTTGTGTATGAGTGATGTCCATGCTCCATGTTGTTAAGGAACACATACCTGAGCAGTGTACACTGCAACTCACATACGAACAAATATTTTTGTTCCTGCCTTTCTTTTGTTTTATTTATAGCAAAACTTAGATATTTTATAAACCTATTGTCATGTTGACTTGATCCTGGAACAAAGAAAACTGCCAACTAAATAATTATTTTAGAATCATGAGACTCCTAATTCAGATCCTTGTAGTCTTGGGTTTCCTGCCTAAGGAAGGAAGCGGGAGTCAACGCTTTCAGTAGGCTTGTTACATATGTGGATTTGTGTGTGTGTGTGTGTGTGTGTGTGTGTATTTAATTTTAAAGGTATATGCAACTGCATTGAAAATGTTAAAAATTCCTATACCATAGAAGGTATGAAAAGAAATATTAAAGTTTTCTCAAATTGCATTTTTCTCAAGTAATTTTTATTAGGTTATAAAACATAAATATTAGTACAAAGAACAAAATTAAACAAACCACTGTCTAAATAGGCAAATAATGTAATATTAATTAAAAATAGAGGTAATCCATCTATATTATAAAGTTCACACAGCCTAGAAAGTTATAAAAGCAAAAACTGCAATTTCCTTTTTTCTTGGTTTTCTAGTCCCATTACACCTTGGTGATCTTTTTGTATTATTCCCCAAAATTTCCAGGCATATATGTGTGTGTGTGTGTGTGTGTGTGTGTGTGTGTGTGTGTGTGTGTGTGTGTGTATACATATATATGTGTGTGTGTGTGTATCCTTAATGTATACTATATCAGATACATTGTCTTTATAGGCTTATTTGTTTATTGGTAGTATTTATTGGTAAGAGGGTACCAGGCTGGACAGTAGCTACAGCACTTCTTGCCTATATAGATTTATAGCATATACATGATATAAACTGAATTAAGCAGATTTACAACATATCCTTCAATTTTCATTTTTACATATTTATGCATTTTAGAAATATTTTTACTTGTTCAGTGAATCAGCCTATGTGAAAGTCTTATAATACTGGCTAGGATGTTGAAAGTTCAAGAAATGTAAGTTATTATTTCAAAATAAACGCATATGGGTGGATTTTTCTAGCCTCTTTTTCAACAGCTTTCTAGTACTTACTAGCTGATAATTTCATGGACAGAGAATTAAGCAGTTTCTAGTTTTTAAAATTCTTTTAAAGAATTTGTGAACACAATATCTCAAGGAGCATATTTTCTGGGTGCTTTTTGAGACTCCTATAGAATAATCTCATAGAAGGGTAACTATTTCACCAGGTTGTAGAGATTTAGAAGCCTGCCTGATGCCTCCAGAAAGTTGTACTACCACACTGCTGTTCCGAGCATCCTATCACAGACCACACACTCCTCAGCTGGTGATGGCCAGTCTCTTCAGCTGAGACATCTTTACTATGATCTGACCATCAAAAAAGTCATTTTCAGATGCCTGCCTCTTGTGTTTAAGAGTAGAGCTTGCTCTTTCGAAAGACACCGGTCATTTGTTTTGTGTGAATTCTTTTCTTATCCTATACTCTTTCCCTTAGAACTATTTAGCTTAATTATTAATCATCTAATAATAATTCTTTGTATATTAAAGAAATTAGATTATTTGCTTATTATTGTGTTGGAAATATTTTTCCTAATTTTTTCTTTGATTTTAAAGTTTCTTCATTAAATATTGGCATATGTAACTATTTTATGTAATAGTCTGTCTTCAGAAAGACTTTGAATAAACAACTTCCTCTTCCAGGGTATAGTTATTGACAAGAGGAGATCAGTCCTCAAAGTATTTGTCATCTTTCTGTCACTATGACACATACCTGACATAGACAACTGATGAAGGTTAAAGATTTGTTTTGGCCTCCAAGTTTTGGAGGTTTCAGTCTGACCACTTGGCCCTGTTGCTTTTAGTCCTGACACAAGTTAGTATATTGTGATGGGAATATAGAGTTGGGCGAAGCTGCTCACCTTTGAGCACACAGTAAAGAGAAGGAGGGTTGAGGTCTTACATCTCTTCTTGAAGGGCACGGAAGTACCAAGTAGGTTCTGCCATGTAAAGGTTCCCCCACCTTCCAGAAACCCCACCCTGGGAATCAGACTGTTAATACATAGACATTTGTGGGACACAAGATCCTAAACATTGGGTCAGTTTTGTTGTGGGTATTTACACATGGAAGTTATTGGGTTCATGCTTACTTGTATGTTCACATTCTTGGCCACTCAGGAAGCATACATTTTTATGGTACACTGATCTGGCCAACATGTCATGTGCTACAGTATAAGGAGCTGTGCCATTTTCTGCAATAACAGTACTTGACAAAATATTAATCCTGGAATAACATATGAGTCATTTTTATTGTGGTTCTTATATAATGGTTCATATCTGTAAGTAGAAATTGGAGAATTATGTGAGTTTTCTCTTTTCAATACTTCATAGCTGTAAAAAGGAGCCTAGTAAGTGTTGGCAGGCCGTTTGCGGAAATGAAATCTCTTAAATTCACTTTGAAATCAGTGACCTCTTCTCCATAGGAGGTAACTCCACTGACAATAGCTCACAGATGTCCACATTGCGTAAAGGAGTCCACATAAGTGCCAGCTGTCTGTCTTAAAGACTGGACACACACACACACACCAGGAATTAGGGTGTTTAGTCTATGGCTTTTATTTGATGATTTTTGAAATGTCTTTTCTTTGTTCTATGCATAGACAAATTGGTTTTTTTTTTCCTTCAAACACTAACTGGATAACAATGATTAAATAGTAGATCCGATAGAATTCAGGTTGTACTGAATTCAAACTATCAGTTGAAGTATGGTTAAATGAAGAATTAAGATTTAGTCTGTACCATGTGAGTAGGCTTAAGGCTGGCTTTGAGTGTGATCTCATAGTTCAATCTGTTGCTTGTTTCTGAAATGAGGGATTAAGCGCTGAATACCTGTGTAATGTAATATGTGGAAAGCACTCTGCAAGACATCACATAGATGGGACTCGGATGTAAACGATTTAGTTTCTGCCCTGAGGTGGTTCAGAGATCTGTGAAGCCGCTGGAGCTTAAGCTCAGGGGGCCTCTCACTTGGCAGGAATCTCTCTATAAGAATGAGTCAATAGTCTTAATTTTGTGTTTCTTTTCCTTCAGAGGACCCTTCAAATTGTAAAGGCCAGTTCCATCAGACTTATATCCACTCTTCAGGACTTAGTATTTTCCTGCAAAAGATAAGGTTAAGTAAATCATCATACACGGCGGTATAAAATAGAGTTCTAATATATGCTGGTATAGGAGTTCAGAGAAATAAATCCCATTTATTTTGCTTTCTCTGCAGAAATTTAACCTTGTCTGTGTGTGTGCCAACCTCAACAAGAATATTTCTTCCTCACTCCATTTCTTACTCACACTGAAATCTTGTGGCCATGTTTCAGTCTCCACAGAAATCCAACTGTAGATTCTGTGACTTGTTGTACTTCTAAGTTGGCTGTAAGAATTTTTAATGCCTATAATGAAGAGGAAGCAATTTATTGTACAAACTCACCTATTCTGAAGATAAGCATTTCAAATTCATTTTCATACCAATAGGTTGGAAGACTCATTCGTGAGCCTCAGGTAAAATTTCTTAGGTATTTCTTCTGCTGTCTGCATGATTGCAGTATGTGCTAATCCGGTAATAACCAGACAAGAGTAGATTCATGCAGATGTTGCATTGTTTATTTCCCACCAGAGCACGGCTTATTTGAAGTCAAGCTTTGATTTCCCTTAAGACTTCAGTTGTGGCTTTTCTTGTAGGGAACTGTTTATTTTCTGGGATTTCTTTTTAATCTTTTCATGGTTCTATTTTTTCTTTTCTAATATGGGTCTGTGTGATTGACAAATAGACAGTGATTTGAAGTCATGAATGGCTAATTCCATGTTTATATTATCCTTTATTGGGATGACGGGTGCCTCACAGAGAGGCTCTTGTTTGCCGCGCTTCTTGCCATGGCCCAGACTTAACTCAGGGCTTCCTTTTAACCCAAGAGGAAGTTACTGAATTTGGGGTTGACTGTGTTAGGGCTTTGAGATTTTATTTTCTCTATGTGTCACTCAGAATAGTCCGATCTCCCTACCCCTCTGTTTAAAGAGTAGGAGGTAAATACCACTGAAAATGCCTAACCTCAAATGTTGGCAGAGGCCTACTTCAGCCAGTGATCTTCAGCAAGGGCTGGGAACGTCCCACAGAGGTGTGGGTTCTGCTGTTTTCTCAGACATTCTCACTTTCTCTGATAACTAACTAAAATGCCAACATCATACATGGAACAGGGAGAGCTGCGTCTCCAGAAACCCTGGACAAGCTGTTTTCAGACCTCAGATCAGGGTGGAAAGTGTCAAATTCTCCTGCATAGC